CGGTGGATAATCGAGACTGGTTATTCGCTTGTATTGACAATTTATTTCTAAAACCTGAAGACATGTCCATTCCTCTTTTGTACGGATCTCCAATTCCCTTCCCTTGATTTGCTCACCTGAACTAGAAATAGAGGAGGCCAGTAAGACTGCTTCATATTCATGCATAAGGAATCACACAAAGATCTAGAGTTACAAGAGAGTTCAACTTTCCAACAATCAACTATCTCTGTGTCGAGCTCTAACCCTGGTATCTATATTTCACAACTTTTGAGGTACAGTCGGGCATGTTCTTTCAAACTTTCAAATTTCAAAGAGCGTCATACAACTCTTGCTCAAAAGTTGTTCCATCAAGGTTGCAACCTTCAAGGACTTAGTAAAACTAATGATAGACATGTGGAGGACATCTCAAAATTTGACGCATCAGTGACAAAAATGATTTCCGATAAAATTCCCTAATGTGACTTGTACCATATGTTCCTGTGTTTACCTCATATGAACAATTGACTTGCCTGTGCATGTGTTTGTGATGGGTGCAAACGGTGGGACACCCGATATCTCTGTATTTTGATAGTGATTCACAAACACATATTCATGACATAGTCGGAATTGTACAATCGACTCTGCTTTTAGCAGGGATTTCTGACGATAATGGAAAGGGTTTTGTCGCTTTTATTTTGTAGTTGACTCAGCATAATTGACAATAATCTGGGATAGTGTCGTGTTCAGTGAATTCAGAAACTCTGGAATGACCTCCCCAGGCCTTTGATCGTGAAACCTTCACTTAAAAGCTCAGTTGTTAATAACATGTGACATGCTCTAGAGACCGGGAGACGCCATACACTGGGGCGGATGGTATATTGCTCGACATGAAGGGGAAATTCACCATTGGAATATTGCTATCCTTCTTGATTTTGCGATGCACAGATCCACATACAACACCCAATGAATATTGCTCCTCGTCTGTTTCTTTGATTTCCTATTCTAGATGATAGATGCGGCGAAGATACTAATTTATCTCAGCATTGTTGAAAGTAATGAGATCACGTGTATATTTGAAACTAAAGTGGACCTTCTTGGCATTGTGCCCTTTCTTTAATTTTGAAAAAGTAGTCAACTATTTTCTGATTCGTATGTAAAACGAAACATTTCATCTGTGTACGAATGGCATGATTATTGACGTCAACGCCAGAGAAGAATCAGTCTCGATTTTCTGCAGAAACAGATTAGATTTTGGGCAAAATAGCGATAAAATTATGTGAAATGGATCACTGAAAATCAGTGGTGACACATGTGTTCACGAAAAGGGTAAGCATGCCCTGCCCATGGGAATAACTTACCAAAATGTCCATCCCCTATTTGACAAACTTCTTGTCGATCAAGAAATTCCTAAAAATCTATCAATGTATTTGAGTATCTAAATATCTCAAAGTAGAATTATATTTAACCTTAACAGATTCATCCCATCCATTTAAAATAGTAATACAGCTCAACTTCCGAACCACTTTCTTGGACACAAAAGCCATTGACTTTACGTGGTGTTATATGTCTCCCTTAATACCACATGGGACAGGATGGGAACGTCCACACAAATCAAATTCAAAATTATTTTCCTGATCGGAATTTGTGTAACTGCAAGTAAATCTTTTGAATTTGTTAAAATTGTCTACACCTGTCCCATATACTCTCTGAAAGTATTTGACTCGTGAAGATCCGGGGTAGAATAGGTCTTCAGCAACCCATGCTTGCCGTAAAAGGTGACTATGCTTGTCTTATAAGGCGACAAACGGGATCGGGTGGTCAGGCTCGCTGACTTCGTTGATGCATGTCATCGATCCCAATTGCGTGGATCGATGCTCATAATATCATTCACTGGATTGTCTGGTCCAGACTCGATTATTTACAAACCGCCGTCATATAGCTGGAATATTGCTGAGTGCGGCGTAAAACAACCAACCAACCAACCAAATCAACATGTCATAGAGGCACTGGGGCAGCTGGTATGTTTACGAGTTTCAGAGCACAACAGCTAATGAAAATGAGAAATGTGGTTCCTAGCACTGAAATAAAGGTGAAACTGTGCCCGTCTCGTGTAGATATCGAATACCATACGTTTGCAACATGTCCAAATTTAAGTTTCACTCAATCGCAACCTCGACACACGTAATATCAATTTCAAAATGTCAATGAAACGTGAATATCAAATAAGCTGTCCTAGTTGCTTGGCAGAACCAGCGACGTTGTTCAGCATCGATGTCATGTTCTGTGACTTTTTCAGTCTGTGTTACTATTACTTATTCAGTCTTTGATTTTTACTATTTTATTTTTATGGTTTTATTTTTACGATCACTCGAAAGTAACATCAGATCGGTATGATTCAGACACGCCGATTTAACGCCTTCAGAGTAACAACAATCACTTTCCTTTTATAACTTGACTTGCCCAGTGTTCTGCTGTTGCCCACAGGAGAATCTACTGGATGCTTCCTTCATGACTTCGAGCAAAATATGGGAATTAATAATGTTTCAGGTGTTAATACAAACACAGAAGGGGCGGAAAATATCATTTTCGGAAGTAATGTCATATTGCCTCAAGCTGAGTGGAAATATGCACTTAGAGCGCCATAACAGTTACTTTTTCACGGACACAAATGTTATTTCCGCCCACTCCTTCACGTTTGCTGTCCATTTTAAAGCGAGCGCGTGCTGTGATTCAGCGCCACCTGGACGCTGGGAACAGCTTGGGAAGTTAGGTAGATTACCTTTAAATCAGTACATTTTGCATATCGCAACTATTGTAACAGTCTCTTCACTGTCTTGTCTGTAACACGCAATCAATACATCACCAGATGGCGCTGACACTTGGGATCTGGAGATCATATTTGTCGAATATTTAAAACATGTTTCATTTTGCTCTTCCATCCACAGTAGAGATACGGTGGACGAAATACAGGCTCGGGCGAAATACTTAAGGCTGTCTGTCTTTGTAGGAAATTGAATGAAAATGTACCGTTGTTAAGAATGTGTGGTTCTGTCATGTGTTGGTTGTACAGTTACAGGGAATCACTGTACAGTTGTCTGTGGAATTGTCAGGGCAGGCAGAATGAGTGTCGACAACCTATGGTAGTCTTCAGATGGAAGCTAATTGGTTGGATTGTCAGGCTCTTTGTACCTTGACAGGGGAGAAGGTCTTAGGTCAGAGATGCTGTGTCAGAGGGTGCAAGGTCAGAGGTCAGGCTGGTTACTGCATATCATCGTATCCCAAATGCGCATGATGTCAATCACTGGATTGTCTGGCCCTGACTCTATTATTTACAGACGGCCGTCATATAGCTGGAATATTGCTGAGTGCGGCATTAAACAATAAGCAAACACAAACAAACATGAACTTTCCTCGACGTTTTCCTTGACAACTTCTCTCAACTGACTGTAGCACAGTATTCTCAATCCATAGTCTGTCCTGGCAGACAGTAAATTATTATTTTTTCTTTACTGTCCCAAAAAACCGAAACCATAATATTTCCAACTGACGCCACCTCTTGTACTTCTTTGGGTTTACGCCAAATGGTGCTTCTGTTTGCGCTGAATGTTTGACTCTGATGTGATGGCCCCGGGCTACATTTCGAGTCCCAATTTATCAAAATTCTCCCTGATATAACATCGGTACGTCCATGGATATGTTCTGTCGGGTAAGCTTCTAATCAGGCATCAACAATCTGGGTATCCATCGTCCAGCAAACACCGATGCCAATAGTGTCAACGACATGCTAAATTGTAACACACCAGTCAGCTATAACCACGAGTCCTGCTATGCTTACTCGGACCCAAATGCATCACTGTACAACGTGTCTGTAACTATAAGGTAGCATATTATTTTCCTTCAGTACCTTTTTCTAATGCTCAAGATTCACTTCGACAATAAGTCAAACACTAAGAGCAGAGTCCACTGTATGATTCCGTCTTAGCATGTGGTTTAGAATCGCTATCAATATAATACCAGGTTTTAGTAAAAAGGTGAGCGTACCTTGCACCGGTCACAAACAAATGCAAATGCAAGTCAATTCTCCACATGCCAAATCGCGTAATTGGTAATTGATGCATCAAATTTAGAAATTCACATGTAATGTTACGTCCTGATAACTGCCCCTGTACATGACTATTTTAGTGACTACGTTGTGACTACGTTGCGATGACATTGTGAATACATTATCAAATATATGGCTCTGTATCAACCCCTACAGATATATTGTAATCAACCCAATGCCTAGGCTCCCAATTATTGACGTGTATCGTTTTGCAATGGCTGCTACGGTAATGCATGGTTCAAATGCTACTGGCTGCTACGGTAATGCATGGTTCAGATGCTACTGGCTGCTACGGTAATGCATGGTTCAGATGCTACTGGCTGCTACGGTAATGCATGGTTCAGATGCTACTGGCTGCTACGGTAATGCATGGTTCAGATGCTACTGGCTGCTACGGTAATGCATGGTTCAGATGCTACTGTCCGCTGCGGCAATGTATGGTTCATATGCTACTGGCTCCTACGGTAATGCATGGTTCAGATAATCCTGTCTGCTACGATAACTCATGGTCCAGATGCATCTGGCAACTACGGTAATACATGGTTCAGATGCTATTGGCTGCTACGGTAATGCATGGTTCAGATGCTATTGGCTGCTACGGTAATGCATGGTTCATATGCTATTGGCTACTACGGTAATGCATGGTTCAGATGCTACTGGCTGCTACGGTAATGCATGGTTCATATGCTATTGGCTACTACGGTAATGCATGGTTCAGATGCTACTGGCTGCTACGGTAATACATGGTTCAGATGCTATTGGCTGCTACGGTAATGCATGGTCCAGATACTGTTGGCTGCTACGGTAATGCACGGTTCAGATATTATTGACTTCTACGGAAATACATGGTTCAGATGCTATTGGCTGCTACGGTAATGCATGGTCCAGATGCTGCCAAACAACAAACAACAGAAGACTATTGACAGTGAGTGGTTTTATGTGTTGGTGCTGGTATGGAGCAGTCCTGTTACTGGCCATGCACTCGGGCGTCCAGTGTACCCTCGAGGCCAAGGTCAGCCCAGCACAGAACATGTACGATCACAGGGTTATACAGCAGCAGTACACATCACAAGCCTAGGTGTATAGCATACGGAGGTATTAACGTGCTCGAGTTGGAACAACATTTCTGGTCAGGGCTATCAACTGTATTTCGCTACCAATATAAAATACAAAGCAAAAGCTAACGTAGATATGTGTATGAAACGTTACATTGCAGCGACCATAAATGTAGTTCCAATCGATTACACCAGATATTGCACGTTTCAAAGATATATAACATATAAGTCAGTTCTTGTCTGTCTGATATTAAGCGTTGTCTTCGGAACCAACAGATTCGTTCTTCATAAAACAAACTTGGCGCGCTGAGGAGTTGATGTCTTGGTTCAATGACAATATGTTATGAAATGACACGTGTATGAGCAGAGACAGGGAGTTGATTAAAATATACTTTAACGTAAACTTCATATAATATCCGTTTGGTCCCTGTACGATGGTGTTAAACAAACAGGACTCTTCCAGTACCTAAGTACAAAATCCGTTATCGATGATACGTAATTATAAAAATATAAAAGTTTATGTAGACTTTGATGCATAAGACAGATGTCGATTTTCGTAGAATCTCCCATGTGAACCATTCGTTACACAATGTCTCAATGCTATGAACAATGCTATGCGCCGTCGCCACGAAGAAACAAGACATTGCCCTAGTATTTGAATTCATGCGAGATTTTATTACAATACATACCTTGTGTATAAACATACATGTGTATATATGAATGGTACAGACAAATAGTACAAGGCATATGCTTTCCTAAACAAACAGATGCAAGTTCATGTTAATACGACTATTTCTGACCATGTTGATACACACTGCGTCATCGGCAGCGACTTGACGACTCTTACGTCACAAGAAAACTGTCCATGTGATGACGTCGCTAATGACCCTTGATTATATTAGGTGTTTAGTAATGCATGTCAAATGATAGTGAATACAAAACTATAGTGAAGGTCATCATGTTCATACATAAACGAAGTACACTAGATTGGACTAGGGGGCACAGTAACAGAAGCACGTGCGAATACCGCGTCAAGGTCACAAACATGGCGGTCATACAGTGGTTCACTAGCAGTACGGTAAGAGAACAGACAGTCGTCATCCAGTCCGAGAGCGGACATGCGTACATAGAGAACGGACACAGAGGCACACACGTCGTGTGTATATCAAAGTGGAAGGGTTGAGGCCCATCTTCCCCCGGGCTTGCTATGTCGGAGATTTAACGGGCGCTTCCGGCTATTTCTATTGTCGCACATCTCGATTCTTGTTATGCTTTGGAGGCATCATAGGAAAGAAACTGTACTAGGATTTATACACGACGAGATGGCGTGGAAGTTCGGGAACTAAATAAATATTTTAATTGCTCATCAAATGAACGTTTCGAAATTCAATTGATTCTTACGGAGGTGACATTATAACTATATACAGACCAATTTGAATTTTAAATAATGATGCAATTTCTGTAACAATGAAACGAGGAAGAAATCCTACAACGGTATTGATATGTTTCTATTGATTTTTAGTTGCAATCTTACTCTTCCTTATTGTTCACTCACATATTTTAGGACGGTTCAGAAACAAACGTGTCGCCTATGTTGACGAGTGTAACTAAATATGCCAAGCTATTAGTTTCTTTTAAGAAAGTGTTAATTCTAAATCAAAATGGAATTATTTTTCACGGAATATCACCTCATCTCAAGCCTGGAGGAAACTGTTGACCTTTGGCCCTTGACTACATGAATACTGAGTGAATCGGAACCCGTCTTGCGAACTTGTAGCTTGTCCTTGTGACACACTATTTGGCTACTGACAGGCTACTAGACAGGCTACTAGACAGGCTACTGGACAGGCTACTGGCAACTAGCTGTATCGAACTGATACCAAAGCTTGCATGGAACAACATCTCTGGGTCCTACAGGTTCTCAAGCATACCAGGCTGCCACTGCTTGTCATTACCAACAAAATAATTAGTTCATTAATTACATATTGCCTGTCAATCGAAATAAGGGGTCGCCAATACAACCGGCTCTCTTCATATCGTCCCCAGTTACAAAAAGCCATCCACCAGTCCCGACTTACGGGAAATACGGGACATCTCTATCCAAGTTTTGTTAAACTAGTTTTTTCAGGATGTTTTGATTTGCCATGCCGTGCGGGTTATTGCGGCTTCGGTGTTTAGACAGAACTTGGGGATATTCTTATCATTGCCTCTATCTCGGAAAGCAAGTAAGGGTCCAACTGCTTGCCTCGACTAGACAATGAGAGCCAGCTGTATTTTGAACAGAACACATTCTCAAATGGACAACATGTCTTTGGGATGCGACTGGACAGGTGAAACTTGACATACTTGATGCAAGAATCCGTGAGGACGGCGGCTGTGATAGAAGTCCTTTGATTCTACAAGTAGTACATAGTGTATATCCATTCATATCCTATAGATTAAAACAAAGCAATGTTAAGTTTGGTACTGTTCTGAAATATAAAGGTTGTACTGTCACTGTTGAATTGGTCATAACGTGAGCCAATTACTCCCTCCGACGGTTTCAGAATACAAAACGTTGCCTCGGATATCATTGTACTTGGAGGCAAGGCTAAGAAAGTTCGAAGGACGGTGTATTTTTCTGAGCTTACTAAATAAAACACAAGCCTTTTTTCTGAATAATGATATAATTTGTGTTTTCTTCGAAATCAACAGAGGCTATCGATGCGTTTCTTGTTCTTGAAAGTTTTGCAACTTATAAAGACAGGTGTGTTTTTTTTAACAAAACCATAGAATATAACATTTTCTATATCTTCATTTTACTGAACCAATACATACTGCTTCATATTTAATGTATACAGATATATATATATATATATAAACTTTTCCATAAACAATTAACGAAACGATAGATATATATATATCTACAAAATGAAAGAATCAAACTTAACGCACTATTAATAAAATACATGGTCAACAGGTCATCTTGATACATCCTATAAAGTACACACATATATAATCACAGGTTCATTCAATGGGCGATAACTCTTCTACACCATTCCGTACTGTCCATGCTACCGGGGTTCCAATCACGTGACCATATCACTACGAGCAAGGCTCATTCTGTACAAACCACTGTGAACGTCAGCTACAATGGCCGTGTCATGTTCCACACGAAAATCCTCCACAGAACTCGTAGTACCAGGTATCCGTTTCTGAGAGTCGATCGTACGAGGTTTGTAACGTTATACGAATATTGCATTTCTACAAACTTGTCGTTGTGGAAGTACAGTGGTGATGTCCAATGTAACGGTATAAAACTATAAGAAATTACAATGAGACTTCTTCAGTAAGAGCAATTGTGGGAAAACACCGTGTGGATTAGGCCTAGGCCAGTTGGACTAGAAATCTGACATGACATGACTGCTTTGTATAATCACTTCATAAATAGGCTTAACAACACGATACACTCCGCGTATACATTCACACAGTGACCCACAGGCTTCATCCGTGTGGTCGATCTGGATTCATCACCCCCAGATAACGCCATCATCACTAGTCGAATACTATCACACGAATCCAGATCAGTTTACAGTAACAATGAACTACATATGGCACAGTGTACGTTACGTCCGATGCCAGTCCAGTTTGAATATCCTAAGGAAAGTCCGTTTAAACTGGGCATTGGCAAACGCATAGCAGAACGGGTTAATTGGGCTGTTGAGATAACACAGCCAGTATGTGAAACTGTAGAATCTGTTGTCGACACTCTCCCAGCCAGCTATAGCTATCACAAACACCATGATATGGTAGGGCGTCCAACACACGACAAATGCGCCTAATATGAGCGTGATAGTCCGCAGAGCCTTGCGTGCTCTGTTTTCAGATTTGGACTTTCGTTCGCGTCGGTTCCTTCGCCGACTGTTTCGTGAGCGCACAGATTTGACAAATGTTTGTAAGCGACCATCCTTCCTTCTTCTCCTACCCCCGGCAGTCAACCGTTGCATGCCACGGTCATCAGCACTGTCTTTGTTGTCATAGGGATGGAGGTTGTTACCATCACTGGCCGTTTGTTCAACAGGTTCCTCGGGCTTCTCTCCGAACGTATCCTCTGTTGCCAAGGGAACGCGAACGTGAATACTCTCGACCGGGCATGTTTCTGCGCCATTCAGAGAATTCCGTCGCCGCCATATTGGTGACGAATTACCCTCACCGTCTTCATTTACGTTTTCAGAAACTTGCGACTCGGAGAGAAGCTTAACGTTATCCCCAGCCAGGTTGCTGAAACTCTTCTCATCAATAAAGCGTATGCCTTTGAGGACGTCGTTCTGGATAAGGGGCACAGAAGAACGATCCATCTCGGTAGCCGAAGCAGAAAGCAGGTTGTCAATATCCGTCACCTGTGTGCCTGATTCAAACTCGGATATGAAGTCGCACCTGATGTCCATTCGGGCAGTTGGTACCAGAAAGTTTGTGTCAGGGATGTGGGCGGGGAAAGCACTGTCCGTCGGGAGAGACTTCCTGTTGGTCTTACTTGAGTCGGGTTGCAGCGCATTGTTGATGAAGCCTTTGTCGGGGATCTTTGGAGGCTTACTGTTGGCAGTGAGTGGCGTCTTGCTAGTTTGAGCTGTCCCCTGACTGGAGCTGTTTTCTTCATCTGATGCAAACGCTGGACTGCTTGATCTGTCTTCATCCTTCTCGGAGTTATTCCTCTTTACAAAACTAGTTGTAGTCACTGTTCCAGTAGCGGCTGTCTTGTTGTTGGCTACGGATTGTTTTTTGGCTTTTTTGGTGGCTTGAGGAATGCTGTCACTACTATTAGATGCCGTCGCCTTCACAGCTGTATGATCTATAGCGAGTTCCATCGTTGACTGCAGCTTTTTGTGTTTAGCATCGGATTTCTTTTGCAATGTTAGAGCTACTCTATATATACCGGCATACAGCACGCACATGACGACCAACGTAATCCAATAATATCCAATCGTTAGCAAGAATGTGAAGAGGGGGTCATTCATAAACTGTACCTCACATGCCGTGGGTTTCACTGTTCTTCCCTCGGGTACGAAATACTGCCATCCAATTACGGCTGTGAAAAATACTACAGTTGGCAAAATCCAAGTCACAGCAATCATGACTAGAACCTTCCGCTCTGTGCGCCAGTTGCGGTACTTTGCTGGAACTTTTACTGACAGAAACCTGTCCATCGTGATAAGAAACACCGTGTACTGTGACGTCAGACAGACTGTCCAGTCCAGAGAGAGCCATAGGTCACACAGCCAGGGTCCCAGAGGCCAATAAAAGTCCAACAGTAGGTATTGGGTGAACAGGGGCATTGAAAACGTTCCGATAAGTAAATCCGAAACCGCCAGGGACGCAAGGAAATAATTCGTAGGTTGTCGTATACTCCGCTCAATGCCAAATGATAGCAGCACAATAATATTACCGAATATAGTCACAATGCTGATGGTTCCAGCTAGGAGGCCCAGGAATATCGTCAGCCACAGTGGGTGGGCTGCGTGAGCTTGACTCGTAGAGTTCACATAACTCGTATTGTCTTGGGACTCGGATACATTTAAAGTATAGTTCAATAGACAGGCTGTGATGTTCATGTCAGCTGTGGAGGTTCCGCAGCCGCCCAGCCCCAGAGATCTGTTCAACAAGAACCCCCCGGGATCCGTCATCACACCGGTGTTGTTGTCCATGGTGACACAAGCAGCAACTGTAGACACTAGGGGATCATCATACTGCAGTCATGGCATCTGAAACACACAGAGATTTATTAGTTGTTTTCTGGTTTGTTTGTTGTTTAACGTCGCAATATTCCAGCTATATGACGCCGGTCTGTAAATAATCGAGTCTGGACCAGACAATCCAGTGATTGACATCATGAGCATCGATACACGCAATTGTGATGCGATGATATGCATCAATCAAGACAGCGAGCATGACCACCCGATCCCATTACGACAAGTATGGGTTGCTGAAGGGGGTTTGATGGGGGCAAGAGAAGGGGGGGTTGACATTATGAGCATCGATCCACGCAATTTGGATACGATGGATTGATACATGACATACAATGCAAAGATATACACCGACGTAAATAAATTGGAAGTGATTCCAAGTCATTGTAATGGCTAACGAACTTCTGCTTCCATTAACAAAAAATATATTTGGCCCCTCCAACTAGCGTTTCCTGATACTTCGTTTCATTCTTTACAGCAGATTTTGTCTCTGCTGATAAGCAGCGAATTAAGTTAGTATTGTATACTTATCAATTTATAATTGAGGTTTACGTTAACGCCGCGATAAATGGAAAATAATATTGAAGTTTTAAATAAACAAGAAATATGGCATAAGAAACGAAAATGCAAAGGCCATTCAAAACGCCCTTCAACACAGAACGGTCAGAGAAGATGCATGGGACGTATTGTTGAACACACACCTCACACTTCAATACTTACACGACAGAGATCGGCTAAGAACAATATGTGTGCATACATGCTTCTTCTTGTTTTATAGAACAAAACGAAGACCTTGTTTACCGTGTTGATAAATCCAATACTCCATGCTATTGCCTTATTAGGAAGTTATAGTGAAGTGTTTTGTTGACGCCGAGACGTGGCGCTAATATCTGTCTGAACTCCAAGTCAGGGTCACGGAATCACATCACCGTCACACACGTGATCACGTGGTGCGATGACAAAACGTCGAAGGTCATTAATGGTTAATGGTACGGAAAGAGTGACTGAAGTCATCCCTATCAGCCGTGTATCAAGAACGTGAGCGAGTCACTTAGTGTCTTCCCGGGGGATGGTGCATAAGGGGCTTCATCGTCTTGAAATCATCTCGAACCTGGTTGTGGAAACCCCACGCATAGTAAATGGTACGGCAGGGAATCCGCCAAGCCGCCACTATCGCGTGGCATGTGTCAAAACAACGTACCCTATAACCACACGAACACCTTCACGCGAAGGACGAACTGTACTGATTGTTAATATGGACTAAGATAAGTCTGTTAATGTAATAAGAACGTTGAAATAATCCAATCAGGACTTGAAAACATTGTCTTGGCAGAGAAGCATTCCGCAGTGGAAGGACGACTCTGAGTGCTCCACACCGTCAACGTAACGGTGCCTTGAAAGGTAAAGGTCCTTCTATGAGGATGTGAGAAAAATATAGACATTGTGTTTCCATAAACAAGATGCCACGTGTTTTAATTGTGTTTATCTACATGTTTGTTGATGGTTTACGATACTGCACAGAATACATCTCGATTAAATTATTTTACAGTGAGACAGCGTCATATCAATGTTTTGCTGTTTTCTTATTTTGTGCATGTTGATAGCATGTGTGTTTAGCATAACTATTTTATCCATGTAAACAAATTGTGTTTAGGATAACATATACTTGTTTGCATATTTACTCAATGGCTCTCTTGTCAATACACAATAGTTCATGATCACTACAGTAATGTATAACGAGCGTGTACCTGAATTGTAACCTCGAAAGTTATGTTATCTTACCAATCGTTTAAGTCCTATCAAACTCTGAAAACAATATAATTGTTCCATTTGGAATAATGAGTGATATGCAATTACAAGAAATGTTTGTTCCCCGGTATGAAACAAATCAAACTTCCAACATTTCATTTACAAAATTCAAAGATTCCCCGAAGATCAAGAGGTCGACTTTATATCAAGTGACTATGTTCCAAGTAAAAACTGAACCACTTGTTCATTTTCTTCTGTATATCATCCCTGAGCTGAGTATTATTTTATCAAAACGTTAACTGAGGAGTTGTGTATATTCAGGTTTAAAGTCGTCTTTGGAAGTGTTGCTCCACTGAAGAGATGATGATGAGCTCCAAGCTTTAGACGAATGTTTGACCAATTTATTGCCTGATCCTATCACTGTTGTCGCTTCCGAGCGTCGCAGTCTGTAAACCCACGATAAATTCAGAATGGGAATTTTCCCAGCAGTGCCAAGAGCAACGATACCATCTCTCCTCCCCTCAAATGTCGCCCAAAGAAGCAATAAATAGGGGTAGGTGTTAATTTTCTGACCTGGATCGATGGTGAGCTGGATCTATCTCAGATTAAAGGAATCCTCTGATGAGGTAAACTCATTTCTGGGACAAATTGCAATCAGCCTAAGTGAGCGTCAGAACCCTATCTCACCCCTTACAAACCCAGTGAAGACTAACTCCTTCAATTGCTAGACCCGGCGACCTAACAAGCTTGCAGTGGAATTGTAAAAACTGTCAGATTGAGATGTTTCTCACCCTCTTTAGGCATCGCCACCACTTACTTCTTATATTCAAAGTAGGGACAAGCAATTGCACTTAAAGGGGCAGAATTTGCAATCGTATCTTCGCCTAGAGCGACAAAGTATCGCTTCTTCATTAAAGAAATCAACGTTCGTAGTAGAATTTCTGAAAAAAATCGAAAAAAGCAATTTTCCAAACAAGCATCAATTGGACACAAAATACGCGAAACTTTTCACTTCGACTTACAGATTGCTGATGAAGGTCTACAACCCTAATGCAAGGATATATAAACACCACGGCTATCGGAACATGAGACACAAACCTAGAGAGTCTGTCAAACAGTAGTATATTCCTCTAACAATAATGCAATATTTCATATGTCTACCTGCATTTGATTTGAAATAATATTGATCGAATAAATTACTTTTTATTCATTTTTGCATATAGATCGACGTAATCGGCGGCAAATGTGGCGTGCAGTGCAACAATGGCTCAGATCAGCAATTAACAGCGACAAAACATTGCCATATTCATAATGTCTTGAATACTAAAATCCTTGACTCATAAGGAAATGAACATTTAAATATAAAATGTACGTGTCAACGCCATAGAATAACCAGTCTCGATTATCCGCCCAAATAGAATTGGTTTGGATGTAAAAGCCATACTACGGGTGAAAATTATAATAATGCATCATTGAAAATGTCTGCAGCTTCGCCTCGAATACGTCCGTTGGTTTACCAGCAGTGCTCGTGCTTATATCCCCCTCGCGATAGCTCCATAACATGTATCTTCACTGAAACACGGGGTGGCCGGGTAGCCTAGTGGTTAAAGCGTTCTCTCGTCACGCCGAAGACCCGAGTTCGATTCCCGACATGGACACAAAATGTGAAGCCAATTTTCTGGTGTCTCCGCCGTGATACTGCTACAAAATCACTCACTCACTCACTGAAACACTGTTCAAAGCTGCGTTAAGCATTAACCCCACTAGCACACTCTCACTATTACCGGATTGACGGTGTGCAACTACATGTCTACTGCTCAATGTTGAAATATATCGCATCAAATTCTTTTGCATAATGATACGAAATATCTAAAAAAACAGACTCCGACTTCATTGCACGATTCCGACTACATCATAATCACGTGTTTGTGAATCACTATCAAACAGTGAAATTACCAGGTGTTCGCGAAAAGCATATATCATCCCACTGGTGGCACCGTCACAAACACATGCAAAGGCAAGTCAACTGTTCACCTGAAAATACGCGGGATCGAATATTGGACAAGTCAAAATAGCGAATCGCGTCATACATCAGCTTCAATATGTCTACGATAAAACCTTTTGAAAGCTTTACAAACCTTTATCAAACACCTTTTGAGCAAGAGTCGTATGACGATCTTTGAAAATTTCAAATAAAGAGCATGCTCGATTGCACCTGAAAAGTTGTGAAATGCAGACAGGAAACGTCATTGTTTGTAATTAGCGTTGAGCCATATATATTTCTGCATGACAAGGAATTATATTGACTTCACCCGCCTGTGTGTGGCAAGAGTGTTACCGTGTACGGCGGAGGGGCAACAAACAAAAATATTTGATTACAAACTGTGTGAGTTGCGGGTGTTTCTGATGGAATAGTACACCCTTATGCTTTTCGCGAACACATGATGTCATTACTGATTTTCAGGGATCCTTTCATATTATTTGATCACTAGTCCTGCACCATGACCGTGGAATATATTTATTTTATGAAAAAAATAAATCTAGAAACGCATACAAAAGCAAATCTAGCCAGCTCTAGCTGGCCCTATTCCACATAGGGATTTTTTTGTTAGAGTCAAGAAGCATATTGTGTACTATAAGATTTCAGTGAGTAAATGTTAGTCTATTTGATCACTAATGTGCCTTTTACGCCCAATTCGGCAATTCTGTTTCGGCATTCACCATTCTACTGGCTATGACGTTTTGAATATACATAATCGCATTTGTATTAACTTGCAATATTGAGACATAAACACTTTGATTACTGTGTACTAAAACCAAAAAATCATTTTTGAACAAGCCTTTTGCAAACTGCCCACGCTCAAATGAAAAGTAATATAAAAACTTGCCTACTTATTGGCAGAAGGGTAGGTAGAAAATCTGGTTGCTGACTTAAATATCTCGTGTTCTCTAACAAACATGAATCCTTTGATGTTTTTGTGCTGGAAGCACTGTTAAGTAGTGGCCGCACAACAAAACCTCTTTGGTATACGAATTATGTTGACCGCATTAGCCTCATATCCTGTTAACTGTGTTCGCTTTTCAACCCTAATGCAGATCAAAGCGCCCCGTGCACTTTGTAGTATATATCATTTATCAGCTGTTAGGCGACGGACGATAATTGAAATTGAACGATTCTGGCAGCATTTGACAGCATGCGGTTGCATGCACTGAAGTCAATCCTGGATATGTTTCCACCACTACATCAATAGCGACTGATCATTGTCCTCTACTTCAAGCCACCAGCCACGGATCCAGCAATTATTTAAATGTATTCTGAAAGCTACGGAAACCTAACACTCGCTTGTACTTGCCTTTAAGCAAGCCACTCCACCCCGGAAGTAAGTATAATCGACTTTTTAAATACAAACACCTCTCAAGGGCGATATGTTTTTTAACACAATCCTATCTCACAATCATCGCATGGTGGCATTCACTGCTTCTTGACACATCTGTCAGGTAAAGGTATCTATGTAAGTTGACGTCAAGTAATCCCAAATAATACGTCGACGTTACGCTGTTACCCGCCACAGGCACTTATGTACGTGGGACCCTGTGTTCAGAGTTAAATGTAGCCTGTCGTGGTAGTGTGGGGGAATACAAATCGATGAACAGCGTTATCATTCAAGCAGTGCTAATCGATAACTTACGTTATCTTCGTAACAATCTCGTAGACGCGTTGTCTGCTCGATACGTGAAGCCACTGTGTCATGGATGGAAATAAATCCGACTCAAGTTGCAACCGATTTCTGGTGATAGTGCATACCTCGCCCCTTCCATTCTAACAGAAACACATTGAGAGACACAGTAGTCATTTCGAGATGGGCGTTCGATCTATGAAATGAATATACATGTCGGATGTTTACTCGGATACAGTCGTGGTTGCCGTGCCTCCTTCCTTCCCCCACTCACCCCCCCCCCCCCCCCCCCTTCACACCCCCCCCCCCCCCCCGCCCCCTTTCCCTACCCCTTTTAGACACACGTGATGTCATCATCATTAAATCCTTTAAACAAAAACATCACAAAGGTTTGTGACATCGAATCTAACCACGACAGCGATTTTATGTAACTAATATGGTATTCTCTTTTATCAATGACAAAAAGTGTGAACACATAATTTTCTCGCTAAAGTTCAATCTTTGAAACTATTTTTAAAGAGTAATCTCAAAACTTTTAATCTGGGAAGAAATTAAATCACACTGACGACTTTTCCAACCCGCGCGTCGCTTCTGACAGATCAATAGATGTCACGTTTGGCTTGTAATGGCGGCTTACAGTCCACATCGCTGAAAACAAGCTCCGCGCAACAAACAATCTCAGTCGGATGAAGGCTGGCGGTCAGGTCCCTACTTCACCACGTCGGGAACCAAAGGAACTGATTTATTATCAAACAGAATAAACAACAACCATTTATCTCAAACCGACATGTTCAGTGCGAGATTAACGCAATTGAGAGAAACATTACTTTGATGGCTCACATTCTCAAAACAAATTTCATAGGAAAACAATTTCCTTTTTTCAGCATATTGCAAACCTTTATAAAGTGACTTTGTATGAGTAATTGTTGAATTATACCCGATGTCGCAATATCGTTCACATAGTGCAGAGGGATGTACGGCTGATGAACAACGTGTGAGCATGGTATGTCCTTCAGTGCGACAGCCGCTGATTCTATAGAAGTAATAGAAATAGAGTTTATATAAACTGTATAAAGCTACTTACACAATTGACGTCATGTTAAATGAGTCACACAGACTGTGTAGCACAAACCTCATATTACTCAGCAATGAAACGGCAAGCACAAGTACAAAAATTGGGAGAGAATTTCTTCTTGATGCGGATAGATTTCTGATGCGTAGTTATCCCCCTTACAATAACACCTAAGAGTGTCCCGGAGGACGCGCATTATTCAGGCCAGATGTATATCTCGTCATTGGCTCTCCTGAGAGGGACACCCAATTAGAAGCCAGCAATAGGTCGAGGATGACAGAAAAAATACTATCTATCCGCTTTCTAGATTAACTTGGTATTATTACTAGTAATTTGTCGCTGGCAGAGCGTCAGGCGAGGTCGGCAGGAGAATATTAATCAGTACAGAGCCGCACTCCGTTCCTACCACATGAAAAGCAAATTATACTGACGATCGCACGAGCGACAAATCCCATTGCCCGGACTGGGGTAGAGCGGGTCCGTTGGGAATAAGGTAAATTTCGTTAATATGGCGGTAACATGTCGGGCTAATGCAAGTGCCCCATCGTCTGGCTGCTATGATTTGTGATTATTCCTCGCAACTTGGCCCTGAAAGGACCATAACTTTGTCAACGCCTCATCCAAATCATTTCTGCTTGTGTGCACACAGACAGTCAATTTGGGAGGATGCACAAGCTCCTAACAAGGCTGGGCAGTTTGTGTGAGGCTATCGAGAGATTCCAAGAAGTTATTTCTCGACACAACCGCCAGGTCTCGGAGCATCCACCCACGCCCCTCTCTATTTCCACCTGTCTCTCATGAAGGGCATCGCAACAGACATCTTTTATTACAAAATATTATTAACAGTCAGGACAGAGTTAAGATGGCGTGAACTGATGACTACCTCTAACACAGAGAACATCTGACAAACCATCTGCGGTCATGCTCTGTGCGTTATACGATACTCCATCGTCTTTATTGAATCTGTTTTCTTACTTTGCCTTGCAACATCTTTAACAATATAATTAGGCCTCTGGAACGGAGTCTTATTATTGAAAGCGATGCCAGGATATCGTTAGATGGCATGCTTAGGCACGCGGACTGGTTTCCGTTCGAGATGGTACAGACGAAACAGAGCACTCAATCTCAGGTTTCCGTTCAAGATGGTACAGACGAAACGAAGCACTCAATCTCAGGTTTCCGTTCGAGATGGTACAGACGAAACAGAGCACTCAATCTCAGGTTTCCTTTCGAGATGGTACAGACGAAACAGAGCACTCAATCTCAGGTTTCAGGGAGATTAAATATGGTACTGAGGTTAACAAATGTACGTTTGTTACCTTTGTATTGTTCAATTACTGGTATTATTATCTGGAAATATATAGCGAGGTTATCAAGCGAGTGTGTTTGGGGATGGGAAATAGCCTGTATTAGGAATAAACGTATTTAGCGAGCCTTGGCGAGCATAGTGTATATTGCTGTGTTTGAAAAATCTCTCCCCATCTCTCACAAACATTACCTAAACATTGCAAGTTTTTCTGAATGTGCGCATCAATATATATTACGTCAGAAGGTAAGTGGTGTGTCAGTCGGACAGTGACAACAATCAATATAGAACTAACCGAAACTTGTTTCTTATACAGCGGCGTAACTACATATGGGCATAACAACGATTGCCAACACAAGTTTTTTTCTACTTTAGCGGCAATCGGTCTGTCCGCTAGAGTAACTGCCCTTTATCAAAGGGAAGCTACTCTAACCCAAGTGTATGAAACGTAACGTTGTTGACAGAGTCTGCCTGTCCTGTCATAACGTTACGAAGTGTAGTTAGATGTACACACAGCGACAGAACGAAACAAGATAACAATTCGGACATGTTTCGGCCAAATCCATCTGTTTTAATTTTAGGAAAAGATTCCAAGCTGCAGAGGTCTGCAAGCACAGATATGGAAACTGATCCCGCAAGGCCCGTGCCCTCGCTAAATTGTTTCGCCATTTATTTCTCCAAATTTGCCAAAACTTGCCTTAGCTACGTCTCAGTTAGACACTGCTTTTCTGTATATTAGACTATTCTTTTGATAATGATAGCAATTTCTCCAGATTCCCTGTGACTAATCATTACTCGATCGCCGACCGACAAGGGCGACGCCATGTTTGTTTGTAAACACTGAAAGTAGTCCCTACTTGACCTTTGATATTTACATATCTATACGGGTATGACCCCACCGGATATCATTTTTACCCATTGGCTTTATCCTGCCGAGAAACCTACCCACTATATGATAAAATGTGATTCCAAATCGCCGAAATAGAGTTTACTGATCTTTTTTTAAAATACATGACCGTAACAGTACATGACCAGCACACTCAGCCATTAAAAATTACCTCACCTGCAGTCTTCTAATTACAAATTTAACATACAAATGATGAGTGAATATGGTTTAACTATATCACGGCGGGGGACACTCGAAATGGACTGCACACGTAGTATTCATGTGTAGAACCGAACCCGGGCTCCGGCGCGACAAGCCAACGCAGCAACCACTAGCCCACCCACAAGTCAAAAGCAAGGCATAGATTCACATATTTTCACGAGATTCTAATCATCAGTGACAAATGATCAATGATCAGAATCTTGTGACAATATGTGAATCTTTGCTTTTGACTTGTGGATGGCCTAGTGGTAATCATTGATCAGTTGTCACTGCTCACTGACTTGTGGATGGCCTAGTGGTAATCACTGATCAGTTGTCACTGCTCACTGACTTGTGGATGGCCTAGTGGTAATCATTGATCAGTTGTCACTGCTCACTGACTTGTGGATGGCCTAGTGGTAATCACTGATCAGTTGTCACTGCTCACTGACTTGTGGATGGCCTAGTGGTAATCACTGATCAGTTGTCACTGCTCACTGACTTGTGGATGGCCTAGTGGTAATCATTGATCAGTTGTCACTGCTCACTGACTTGTTTGAAGCATGCCATCGATCTCAATTGCGTGGATCGATGCTCAGGATATCAATCACTGGGTTGTCTGGTCCAGACGCGATTATTTACAAACCGCCGTTATATAGCTGGAATATTGCTGAGTGCGGCGTAAAACAACAAACCAACCAACCAAGTTGTCACTGGGCGGTGTAGTATAACGCACAGCAATTTTCTGTGCAGAGTAGGGCCCCTTGGGAATGCCAAGAACTTGTGTGGTCGTATGTTACAAGCTAGTAAGCTCCATTTCACCAAAGTGGTAAAACGTCTAAGACCTACATCAACCGGTGCTTTTCTCCAAAATAATAATAATAATAATAATCCACTTATATTGCGCATATTTCCACACAACCCAGGGGCATGCTTAAAGCGTCACCGGATCAGTGTTCACTCAAGAATCGAACTGACACGCCGTTGTATAACTGAAATATTGTTCAAAGCGGCGTTAAACCCAACTCACCCTCATGTATTTGAGCTGGTAGGTTTCAGTTGATATAACATCATGTGTGCTGATCATGTCAGACAACAGGGCTCCAGGAATTATCACGTTAGTGTGTATTTGATATTGTGCCACATGATTTGATGGTTGTACGTCTCTTCGAGTTCAGCATGACCCAGCTTTTCTAGCAAGCCCTTTCTATATACATATGACTACATAAGACACTATTCATTCAGGCAGCACGTTCCTATCAATATAATCGTTAGAGTAATTATCCCAGTCTGTATCAACAACGGCTCATTAGGTCAACGTGACCCTTGAATGCCACGCAAGCATAATAGGTACGTGCCTCCCATGTGGGTTGATCGTCCTGATTAGCTGCAAGGAAATAGATGTATCAATAATTTAGTAGATGAGGACTTTGGATGTGCGAGCTTCGCATCTCAACAAATCCTCACCATATGAATACAGAGGGTAAAAAATCACTGATTGTCTGCAAATAAATTCACGTCAATAAAACAATAGGTAATTTCCCTTTTGTCAGGGAGCAGACATCACATGTTGACTGGTGTGCAATACATTCTGCGATGACAGTTGTCTTGCTTGAATAGGATCGGTGATTAATTTGGGCAAACAAGAAGGACGCTGGCTCATTTAACTGATTTCCTGTAGATCACGACATGTAGATCATGGACAGTTTATCATAGTTCTCGATACTATGGACATGCCATTCTCGTATTACCATCCTAGGTCCATTCCACCTCAGACCCCCGCAACCCCATAATGTCCATAATGTTGTCTGGTTGTACCTAGCCCAATGTCCATAATGTTGTCTGGTGTACCCCCATCCCCACCATATGTCGATAATATTGTCTGGTTGTACCTCCCCATATGTCCATAATATTGTCTGGTTGTACCTCCCCATATGTCCATAATATTGTCTGGTTGTATCCACAAACACACACACAGACACACCATATGTCCATAATATTGTCTGGTTGTATCACCACCTCCCAATGCCCATACTAGTGTCTGGTTGTATCACCACCTCCCAATGTCCGTCCATACTAGTGTCTGGTTGTATCACCACCTCCCAATGTCCATACTAGTGTCTGGTTGTATCACCACCTCCCAATGTCCGTCCATACTAGTGTCTGGTTGTATCACCACCTCCCAATGTCCATACTAGTGTCTGGTTATATCACCACCTCCCAATGTCCATACTATTGTCTGGTTGTATCACCACCTCCCAATGACCATACTAGTGTCTGGTTGTATCACCACCTCCCAATGTCCATACTATTATCTGGTTGTATCACCACCTCCCAATGCCCATACTATTGTCTGGTTGTATCGCCACCTCCCAATGCCCATACTAGTGTCTGGTTGTATCACCACCTCCCAATGTCCATACTAGTGTCTGGTTGTATCACCACCTCCCAATGTCCGTCCATACTAGTGTCTGGTTGTATCACCACCTCCCAATGTCCATACTAGTGTCTGGTTATATCACCACCTCCCAATGTCCATACTAGTGTCTGGTTGTATCACCACCTCCC